CGCCCGCGTTCCTCGGTCGAGCCCCCCCGGTGACCCCCCCTCGTGCCCCCCCAACCACCTGTACGCGCACGCCCGCGTTCCTCGGTCGAGCCCCCCCGGTGACCCCCCCTCGTGCCCCCCCAACCACCTGTACGCGCACGCCCGTGTTCCCTCGGTCGAGCCCCCCGGTGCCCCCCCGCCAGCCCCCCAACCTCCCACGGTGCACGCGCACGCCGTGTTCCTGGTCGAGCCCCCCGGTGCCCCCCTCGGTGCCCCCCCACCCACCTGTACGCGCACGCCATGTTCCTGGTCGTGCCCCCCTGGTGCCCCCCCAACCACCTGTACGCGCACGCCGTGTTCCTGGTAAGCCCCCCGGTGCCTCCCTGTACGCGCATGCCATGTTCCTGGTGAGCCCCCGTGCCCCCCGGTGCCCCCTGTACGCGCACGCCGTGTTTCCGGTGAGCCCCCTGTCGCCCCCCAACCCCCCCCCCCACCTGTACGCACACGCTGTGTTCCTGGTGAGCCCCTGGTGCCCCCCCCAACCCTCCCAGGTGCACGCGCACGCCGTGTTCGTCGAGTGGCTGCTCCTGCCCACGCACGTTAGGGCTGTGCTCGCCATGTGCCGGTGCCGGGAGTTTCCTGGCTCTGGCGCCCCCTGGAGCGGCTCCCGCACGGCGCGGTATAAGGGGCACCGCCGGCTCCTCCCACCCTCGGTTCCAGTGCCGGTGCTGGACGGTTCCCTGCTCGGCAAAACTCCTTGTCCAGATCCGTTCGGGGTGAACTTCACCTCTGCAGCTACTCGGTTGTTTGATCATTTCCCTTTGACGTTCGTCCCAGTCGGGCCTTCGCCTGGGGCCGGGCCGGGCCTGTTTGCGGAGCACACGGACGCCGCGTACACAGCTGGACGGGCTTCGGCAGCCAGCCCAGCACGGAGCCCGGAGCAAAGCCGACAAGCGCCGTCAGAGCCAGCAGCCCTCGGGCTCGGCCCAGTCCAGCTCCATCGGGGCGAGCCCGAAGGCGGCCTTCCAGTCGGTGTCCTGGGTCCTGCTTTCCCCCGCTTCTCCAGCCGCCTGCCCCCTTCCCTGCCTGCCTGGCGCACCAATGAGTCCTCAGGCCTGTGGGTCAGAGTTAGTCATTTCTAACCCCCTGTCACGGAGTGTGGGGGACACACACAGCCCTGCCCCCCCCCCCCCCGGCTTCCTGCGATTCACCAGGACTCTCAGCCAGCCAGTAAAGCAGAAGGTTCATTTAGACGACAGGAACACAATCCAAGACAGGTCTTGCAGGCACAGACAAGAGGACTCCCCCCTAATTAGGTCCATCTGGGGGTCCCAGGGCACCACAGCCCCATTGGGGGGTCCGAGCCCCGTTTGGGCTCCCTCCATTCCACCAGCCAGCTCCTGAAACTCTCCCTTCAGCGACCCACCCCACAGCCTTTGTTCAGTTTCCCGGGGCAGAGGTGTCACCTGACCTCCAACCCCTTCCTGGGTTGTTCTCCTGTTAGGTGCTCAGGTATCTTCCCTCAAGGCCAGTCTCCCATCCCCCAATGCAGACCATCCTAGCCACACTCCCCTGCTTCCCAGCCAACACTCCCCACTCAGCATTCACAGATCACAGTAAGAACAGTCCCAGTTCGTCACAACCCCCCCCCCCCACGGACCCCTCCCGGGAGCTCCAGGGCCTTCTGGGGGCGGGAGCTTCTCTACCCTACAGGGGCAAGGGGTTTTACTTCTGTTACTTTCTGAGCCCAGCGGCCAAGGGGATCTCAGACCCATCTGGCCCTGGGAGACCCCAGCAGGTATTTCAAGAGGTTGAAGTTGCACCTGGTCGCCGTGGCACTGGTTCGCTGCCCTCGACTTGAAGGACGCGTATTTCCGCATAGCGACGTTTCACGTTTCACGACAGGTGCTGCTCACAGCCAGTGCGGTGTTCCCGTTTGCGCTGGTGATGGCACCCAGGGGGTTTGCCAAGTGCCTGTTGGCGGAGGCAGCTTACCTCAGAGGTCGGGTATTCACATTTATCCGTAGCTCGGTGACCGGCTGCTCAAGGGCCTCCCCGGGTCACAGGGCAGTGCGAGGTGGCAGTACGGCAAACCACACGCCACGCCCTGGCCTGGTGATAAACAAGGGGAAATGAACATTGGTTCCGGCGCGGAGGACAGAGTTCGCCTGTGCTGAGCCTTCCTGCCACCCGCCAGGGTCCGGACGACGGTGGAGCTCATCGCCGGGCTCTGCGTGTTCCCCCTCACCATGGCCCGGGTCTGCCGCCGGCTACCAGGCCCCAGCGACGCTCAGGCTGCGGCTCCTCCAGGAGTGACTCAACCGTCTGGTCCCCGTCCAGAGATCACCTGGACAAGCTACTCACGAGCCCACCAAGGGCTCTGACCTCTGTGCTGGTGCAGCGACCCGAGCGCGCAGCGTTTACCCCCTCGGTCTCCCTCATTCCCGGTGCCCCCGAGCTCGGCGGGGGGGCGGCGCGGTACACGGCGGCCCAAGGGACGTGGTCCCCAGAGGAGCTGCCATTACACGTAAATGTCGAGGAGCTCAGGACCGATTGCCCTGCGGGCTCTGTGTGCCGCACCTGCCGGGCAAAGTGCTGCGGGCGTCACGGACTCACAGATCGTGCCCACTCGTGGCCCTGTGCGGTCCGTGGAGGGGGTGCCCCTTTCAGTGAGACAGCCCTTCTCGGGGGTCCACTCTCTCTCGGGGTCAGGCCCCTCCACCTCCTGGAGCCGCACCTCTCTGAGCCTTAGCACGTCTGTCTCTGCCGTGGGGCCCCTCAGGGAGTCCACTTGCTCTGGACCCCCGGGACCTCCACCCCCGAAGGGGTTAATGCCCCCCCCCCGCCCTGTTCTCTAGCCCGGAGTGACTCAGCCAGCAAGAAACAGGAGGGTTTATTGAGAGTTGAACCCAGCACAGGAAACTCTCCGGCCTCAGGCCTGGCCTCCCTCAGCCCAGCACATCCCAGTCTCCCTGCATCCAGGGGAGCTCTGCCTGCTTCCCCTCTCCAGCCCCAAGCCCCCCTGCTTCCCAGCTGGGCATCTGATACCCCCGGCCCCAAGTCCCACCTCTGTCCATTGTCTTCTTTCCAGGGAAACAGGGTCACCTGGGCCTCCTCTCCCTTCTTCTGTCCCTCTCCGGTCCTGTGTCCCAACGAACTCCCTCTCCCCTCACCTCGTTAAACCAGTAACACCAAGGGACACTGAGTCCCACCCACCCCGCATGCAAACCGTTGGAAAACCCAGGAAAACACAAGACAATCCCCCACTTGGTCACAGGGTACTGATGGACAACACGTCTGCGATGTTCTACATCAACAGACAAGAGGGAGCACGCTCGTCGGCTCTGCCACGAGGTGCATCGACCCACCTGGAGGCCTGACACCTCGCCGGCATGAGGAACACGCCTCAACAGGTCCCTCTCTCTCCACGAGTGGTCGCTCCACCCGGAGGGTGCCCGGACGCTCGGCCAGAGGTGGGGAGCTCCCCGAGGGGACTTGTTCACCCCCGGATGGAACAGGAAGTGTCATCAGCTCTCCTCCCTGCAGGGCCTCGGCAAGGGCATCCTCTCCGACGCCTTTCTCCTGTCGTGGTCGGGGGGCCTGGTGTTCACGTGCCCGCCCATCCCGCTCAGCAGGGTCCCATCAAAGATCAAGGGGGACAGAGCATGGGTCGCCACAGTGTGGCCGCGCCCATGGTGCTTCGGCATGACGATGGATCTGGCAGTAGCTGGCCCTGGTCGCTACCCAATTGCCCAGACCTCCTGTTGCAGGCTCATGACCGTCTCCTGCACCAAACCTCGCCTCGCGGTGTGGACGCTGTTGGCTGAACCCAGAGGAACGGACCTGCTCTAGGGAGGGAGAGCAGGTCGCCCAGGAGAGTCAAGCACCTTCCACTAGACTGACTTGCGCAGCGAAGTGCATGAGGTTCCCCCGCTGGGCATCAGCGCGGAGCATCGCCTCACCCCGCCCATCCTAGACGGCTGGCTGCACTCACAGAGCCAGGGCCCAGCCACGGATCGTCTAGCAGCCGTCTCGGCCTTTCGCCCACGCGGCCGGGGAAATCGGGTCAGGTTCCTAAGGGGCCTCCAGAGGGTCCTCCCAGTGGTTCGGAACCTGGTCCCTTGGTCTAGTCCTCGCCGGGCTCCCAGGCCTCCCAGCCTACGGGCCCCACCTGACGTGGAAAGTCGCCTTCCCTGCGGCGGTGACGTCGGGAGACGAGGACCAGAGCCGAACGCCAGGATCTCGGAGCCACCATATACGCTGTTCTACAGGGACACGGTGCGGCTGCCTCCCACCCGGACTCCTGCCGAAGGAGGTGTCCTGTCTCCAAGCCAGCCCGGACGTCCTCCTCCCGGTGTTCTGGCCCAGCCGCACTCGGGTGCTGAGGAGAGGCGGCTGCACGCCCTGGACGCCCGCCGTGCCCTGGAGCGTACCAAGCCCTTCCGCAGGCCAACCCTCTCTTCATCGCGACAGTGGGCGTCCTCGCAGAGGATCCCCAACTGGACCGTCATGGGCAGGCCTGTTGGCGAAAGGCCACTCGACCAGAGCACAGGCGTCCTCGGCGGCCTCCCTGGCGCACGTCCCCAGCCAGGACATGGGCAGGGCCACGACGTGGTCCTTGCTTCACACGTTCCTGGCGCGTTACGCCGTCACCCAGCAGGCCAGGGACGACGCTGGGCTCAGCAGGGGTGGGTTGCAATCCACATGTCCACACGAGCTCCTACCTGTCCGCTAACCGGGAACGGACACGAGCGAGCACTGGGGGAAGAAAGGACGGTTACCTGTCCCATGACTGGTCCTTCGAGATGCTGCTCACGTCCATTCCACGCCCCGCCCCGCCCGCCGGCCCCGCTGTCGGAGTTCTCGGCAGGAAGGAACCGAGGGTGGGGGGAGCCGGTGGTGCCCCTTATACCGCGCCATGCGGGCGCCGCTCCAGAGGGTGCCCGAGCCAGTCCCCTAGGGACACCGCGGAGAGAGGGGTGAGCGCACCCCTAACCCAGAGTGGCCGTGAGTGACACCTCTCGGAGAACACCGGTTACGGGACAGGTAAGTGTCCTTCCCTGGTGAGCCCCCCCGGCCCCAGCATGCACCGGGTTCCTGACTGGCGGGGGGTGGGGGTTCCCGGGGGCTCTGCCCCGCTCCCCAGCACTGACCCCTCCTCCCCCCACAGATCATGACGCGCCCCTCGGCGGCCAACAAGAACTTCCCGTACCACGTGCGCACCTCGCAGATCGGCATCATGGAGGAGGGGGCGCCTGGCACCAAGTTCCCCCACCACGTCTACGGCAACGTGACCTTCATCAGCGACTCCGTCCCCAACTTCACCGAGCTCTTCTCCATCCCCCAGGGCCCGGTGCGGGGCGCCACCAACGTGAGCGATGGGGCTGGGCAAACAGCCCCTGCCCTGCTTGTCGCTGTCCCTGTCTACCCAGCCCCCTGCCCCAGGGGTCCCCAGATAAACTGCCCCAAACCAGGGGGCCTGTGCGAACAGCCCCTGTCCGTGTCTATCCTGCCCGGGGGGTCCCTGGGTAACCGGCCCTCTGCCCTGCCCCAGAGGGGCCGGCGCCGGGCGAGGGGCACCCCCATCATGGAGTCGCAGGCTGGGGGCTCTGGCATGGCTCCGGGTGAAGCCAGGCAGGGCTCTGGGGCAGTGTCTCCCCACAGGGCACCTGTCACCAGGGCCAGGAGCCTCCTGGGTCCGACCTCGGAGCGTTCGGCCCCCTGCTCACCCCCGGTTATTAGTGGGGGGAACCTGGCGTAGAACAGAGCTTGTGACCAGGGACCTGCAGCAAAGTCCAGTTCGGGGGGCGGGGGGGATACCAGAGCCCTGGGCTCCAACCCCCCCGCCCTCCAGTCCCAAGCCAGGAGACTGACCAGTTCCCCCAGCCCAGCCTCCCCCCCCCGCCTCGTAGCCCCTCTCGGCCTTTGTCCCTTTCCCTGGGAAAAGGTCACTGGTCTCTCTCTGCCCAACACCTGGGGGGGGGTCGGTTACTAGGTTACCGGGTGTTCCCCGTTCTGTGTGCCCAACACCTGGGGGGGGGGTCGGTTACTAGGTTACAGGGTGTTCGCCGTTCTCTGTGCCCAACACCTGGGGGGGGGTCGGTTACTAGGTTACAGGGTGTTCGCCGTTCTCTGTGCCCCAGGTATTTACATCTGTCCTTGAAGGGTCTCTGCAGGGCCACACACCCGTATCCCCCCCCGATACGTAAGCAACACATGGGGAAACTGAGGCACGCACAAAGTATTCAGAGAAAACATTAAGAACATTCACAGTTCGCCACACCCCTCTATAACCAGCCCCCTGCCCCACCCCAGCGGGGTCCCCGGTAACCAACCCCCTACTCTGCCCCAGACGGGCTGCGTCCCAGTGCTGGCCGAGGGGTCCCCGTATAACCAGCCCCCTGCCCCAAGGGAGGGGTCCCCGTATACCCAGGCTTGCACCCCCCAGCACTGACCCCCCGGCTCTCCCCCCAGGCGCGTAAGCAGGTGGAGGAGACGCCGGCTGAGCGGAGCACGACCCCGAGCTGTGTGGTGACGACGTCAGAACTGAGCAGGCCCCACGTGGTGCTGAAACCCCCCCCGGGGGGCGAGAGCCAGCCCCCCCCGTACCAGCTACAGGCCCCCCAGCTGCACCCCCCCAACGGCTACACCGAGTACTTCAGCATGCACACGGGGGGCGCACGGCCCGTCTAGGGGCCCATCCCCCATAGTCTGCCCCCAGCCCCCCCCATGCAGACCAAGGGGGCCGGACCCCTACATGTAACCCCTTCCTCCTGGGTAGTCCTTCACGCCTCCTTCATGGCCCCCAGCCTCCTGCCCCAGTGCCCCATGGGGGGCCCCCCAGCACAGCTGCCCCCGGCCTGCACTGACTGGGCTGGAGTGGGGGGTGAATGGCCTCCCATGGGAGCGGCCCAGCTCCCCTTCAACCCCCAGTGCGGGAGGCCTGGGGCTGGGACTGAATGAACATGGGGATTGACCCCCCAGCAGGGCTAGGAGCCCCCCGCCCTGCCCCGCATCAGCATGGCCTGGGGACACAACCCCCCCGCCCCTCCCCTGGCGCCTATCGAGTGGGGGGGGCAGTGTTCCCGTTACCACTCCCCACCCTGGTCATCCCCTCCCATGACCCAGGCTGCCTGTCCCCCCTCACCCGCCCAGGCTCCCCCCAGGGCCATTTCCCCCCCAAGGCTCCCCCCCCGAGCCATTTCCCCTCCCCCCCAGAGACATTTCCCCCCCAGGGTCCCCCCCGGGCCATTTCCCCCCCCCAGGGCCATTTT